TGATAGTTTTTGATCTGTAGACTAGATCAATATCATTCATATAACTCAGAGATTGCACTATTCTTATATTTCTATTTTTGAATAGATATGCAGTGTATATTGTAAATAAAATGAGTGAGATTGAAGACCTCTGTGATACTTCTATTTTTATCTCAGTCTTGTCTTGTTTCATTCCATCAAAGAAGAGTTGTATAATTCTTTTAGATATAAAACAGTTAACTCATTTTATTAGAGAAAGTGGCAGTTTTAATATCTTCAATGTCTGAATTAACTTTGACTTTGAAACATGATTAAATGCTTCTTTTATATCAATAAAAACTGCAGTTGAGACCAGACTCTCATGCTTTGCTATTTGAATATCATGAACAACTGAGAGAACAGTGTCAATTACAGAACACTGTTTTCTACCTCTCATTTATTCACTGAATAAAAGAGAATCATCTATAGAGCTTATAAAAGATAGTTGAGTAGCTATTATCTTTTCTAAAACCTTTTCTAGGCAGTTCAATAGAGATATTACTCTATATAACTTAGGAATTGAAGTTTTTCTATTAGGTTTTGTAAGAATCACTTCAGTGGCTTCTCTCCAGCATTCAGAATAATATCAATTTTTCAAGAGATTGAAAAAGAGCTCAAAATATTCATTCTTTAAGTAGAAATATGTATTTTGAATAATCAAGTGATTAATTGAATCAGGACCTGCAGCAGTTTTAACAGAACTTGAGAAGATAGCTGACTCTAATTCATCTTATGTAAGATCAGGCCATTCTCAGTCATTTTCATCAATGTAGTTAAGAAGTGATATATTCTCTTTCTCTGAATCTGAATCTGAATCTGGTGAGTTCTGAAAGAGAATTCTTATAAAAGCTTGACATTTTTTCTCAAAAGAGTTTGCTGTATATGATTCATTCTGAAACTCATATTCTAGAGCTGGAAGTTTTGCTACACTTCTTGTTTTAGTATAGTTAAAAGCTTTAAAAACTTCCTTTTCTTATGCTTCTTCAAGAAATTTATTCCAGCAGTCTGTTTTAGCTCTTTTAATATCTGAAAAATATTCATTTCTGACAGCTTTGATCTCTTCATCAGATATTACATCATTCTTTCAATCTCTTCTAGCAGTAGCTAATTCTTTCCTTTTAGATGAGATATTCTCATTTCATCAAGGTTTTGAATACTCAGAAGATTTTCTTTTTAAAATATTATCTCTAACACTTATTAGAATAATAGATGTAATAAGCTTCACTCTATTCTTAAGCATTTCATTTGAGATATCTTGACCAGAATTCCAATATAGCTCATTCTGTCTTTCAGATTTTAACAGTTTTATACTCTCTTCAACTGCTTTTCAATCAGCTTTTTCAAAGTTATACTGATTAGAGAGAAGAGGATTTTCACTCATTTGTTTTTCACTCAGTTCAATATTAAATTGAATAATCTCATGATCTCATTCTGATGTCTCATTTGAATTAATAAATCAGTTTACAAGTCTTCTTTTCATTAGATTTTGTGATATGAATGTTAGATTTATAATAGACTTCTGTTTCATATCTTTTCTAAAGAATGTTTGTTGATCAGACTTATTAATCAAATCTATTGAATACTCAAAGGTTCATTCAATCAGATTATCAGCTCTCACTGCTCTCTTACATTCTGAATTTCATCAGAGATGATGTCCATTGAAATCTCCTGCAATTATAGAGTTTCTTGATGAAGTTATGTTCAGAAATCCTCTATCAATTATTCAGATATTGTTATTTTTCTTCAATGACTTTTCATTATAGATATTTATGAGCTGTATAGTATCAAACTCATTTTCTTTATCTATAATATCACTCACCAGAATATCAGGGTCAGACATGATATCAAATCTTAGATTAAATTGATATCTTGATCTCTTTCTTTCATAGATCACTACTCTTGACTTTATCTCAGACTTTTGAGGTAAAAAGCAGTAGTAGCTTGAATGAGAAATGACATATTTTTGCTCAGCATCAAAATTCAGCTCCTGAAGCAGTATAAAATCAACTTTTTATTCAAATGCACTTTGAAGACAAGAATAAATGTAATTTGAGTTTCTATTCACATTATTTTGAATAAATGTGATTTTTGAAGAGTTTTTAAACTTTTTTTGTTGTTTTTATTGTATATTCATACTAAAAGAGAGTAGAGTAGAATCTAATCACTATCATCAGATAGTAGATTATAACTGTTCTGAAAAGTAGAAATCTTAACTACTTACATTATATCTAGTTTATCATCAGAGTCATTTCTCAATTCTCTAATCTTAACAGAAGTTTGAGAATTCAAATTCTGTTTACATTTTACTGGAGAATTGAAGTTTGAAGACTTAGATAATTGAGAGTTTCTTCTTTTTAAGCTTGCAGTTGTGAGTTTACTGACTTGACTATTCTCTTCAGTTCTAGATTTACTCTGAGCTTCATCTTTTCTCCAGTTCTTTTGAGTTCTTGAAGTAAATATAGATTCTTTTGAGCTAGATGCATGTTTTTCTTTGCAATTAGAGCATTTAAGCAGAGTGTGTTGACATATTTCATCTCTTTTTGAGCATGTTTCACATTTATGCTCACTAGTTTTGTGATCTCTGGCACAGAATGCACATTTTGAGTCTCTGAAACAGAAGATTGTAAAGTGTTCATATCTTTGACAGTTTGAACACTGTGTTTGAGCTTTGAGATTCATTCTTGAGTCTTTGTATTCATAAACTCTCATTTTCAAACCTGCTACTCTTACTTCAGAGATCTTTGACTGTTTCATTGTCTTTGTATATACTAGAACAGAGGCATTTCTTCTGCTTTGTCTGAACTCAATTGAATTTAGTCATACAGGCTTCTTTCTCAGTTGAATAGAGTTGTATTCTTCTAATTCATTTTTGAGAAGTAGCATTCCTTCTTCACAGTCAAAAATTTCAACTAGAATATCATGAAGAATGAATTTGTCTCACTTTTCATCTCTTTCAGATATAATTGTTGTGTTTAACAAAGATTCTACTGCTGATTTTCAGAGATTCTCATTCTGAATAAGGAATTCAGCACTGAATTCAGACATTGTAGTCAGAATGATGAAGTTTTCAAAGAAGAATGACTCAATTGAAGCTATAACTGGTTTTTGAACTTCAATATCAGTCATTAACTGAGAAAAGAACTGCTGATTGATTTCATTTCTAATTCTGAAAATGAGGTTTGAGTTTAGCTTATTTCTCTGCAATATGTCCTGATTTGAGACTTTGAGAATAAGTCTTCTATCTCTGAAGATTTGAAGATTTTTCTCTTTTTACATTTTTTTCTTCACTCTTCTATCACTAGAAGTATGAGCAGTATTCTTCTCAGTTTTCTCAGAATTTTGAGCAGGTTTTGAGATAGCAGATTTAGAGATAGCAGGTTTAGAGACAGCAGATTCAGCTGCTTGAGCATATGTTTTCTTCTGATTTAAAGAAGAAGAAGAAGAAGAAGTAGAAAAGAAAGCAGAGCAAACTGAAGAGTCAGTGATTGTATTAGAAATTTTCAAAGTTTTTTGAACTGTGTTTGAAATTTCAAGTTTGAACTTGATCACTTTCTGTAGTTGTCTAGCCTGAGTATGAAGAATTAATAGAACTTCTTTATTCATCTCACTCAGACACTGCTTTTTAAGAATTTTATTTGCTTTTTCAAGTTTCTGTATTTCAAGAACTTGTTATTTCTCTATTTCTTCTTTCTTTCTTCACTTCAGAATTTCAATCTCAGAAATAGCATTTGAGAAAGCATCTTTTTCCACATCAACTGAGTGTACTTTTGAACTCATTGTTCTTACTCAATGAAAAGTTGATCAGACTAATTCAATTGAGATATTTATTAAACTCTTTTGAATTGAAAAGTTGATCAGACTGTTTCAATTAAGAGATTTCTAAGTCTGTTTTCAATTGAAAAGTTGATCAGACTATTTCAAAAGAAGAATAGCAGACTTTTATGTATAAAATACCTGATTTTTTTCACACTAGTTCAGTAACTAGGTTAGATTTTTGAAGAGAATCTAATAAACTAAAATTGATTTTTAAGATAAATCAATAAAATCTTTACAATCTCTTTCTTGAAATACAGTGAGGAAAAGTATAATATCAATTGATAGTAAATCAGATAATATGACAGTTTTTGAGAGAAAAACTGACAAAAAATAAATCAATTTTTTGCAGAGAAATTGATTAAAACTATTCAATTTTATTCTAAATTATTCAATTCTCCTCACACAACAAGTGTGCAACTCAAATCAGTTAATAAAGAGTGTAAAAAAGAATTAAGTATTAATGAAAGCTCTTCAGCCACTGAAAAAGTAATTCTTACTTAAAAGAATATGAAATTATGACAGAAAATAACTCTGTTTTTAATTCTTTGTAAGAATATTGTGTAAAACTCAGAGAAAAACATCTTACTTTTTCAAGAGAAGTAAAAAACTATTTCTAAGATCTTTTTTTTTTTTGCATTAACTGCTATAGAAGAATGAGATAGAAACTGCTAAGATATGCATCACTGTATACTCTCTATCAAGACTTTCCCTCTTCAGAGTCTTGATATTATAGAGAATATAAGTCTGTTTCTATATAATAATATAAATATTGTCAGCGGGATGTAGAGAAACTGGTTATTTATATCTCAAAATAGAAGACTTTGTCAATGATTATATCAATATAGAGTTAATTCTCAAATTCAATAGAAACCTAGTGTTGCTGTTCTCAATCCCTTGCAGAATCTATTGAATATTGAGGTATTAAAACTAGATTTAATATATCTCACTGTGCAGGGATCAAAGGCTCAGTCAGATCTTGGGGTATACTGATTTTATAGTTGTTGTGTCTGCTGATTATGTATCGAGCACAGTTGCTGAGGTATCTTTTTGTACTTTTCTGTCGGGGATGGGCCAGATTGAGAGGGGTGGTACAAGGGTGAGACTCGGCGTTGATGTCTAGATACACTGAAGACAGACCGCGGAGGGTTGCACTTCAGAAGTGACCATTGGTTATGTGCTTGATATTATCGCCGAGGTATCTTTTTGTATTTTTCTGCTGGGGATGGGCCAGATTAGGAAGGGCGGTACGAGGGTGGGACTTGGCGTTGATGTTTTGGAACATCAAAGATGGACAGGGTTTTCGCGGAGGTCGCTCCTCAGATATCTCCACAACTACAGATTGGGGATCTTCCAAAATCAAGAAGATTGGTGCATATGGCTAGGTCTCTTCACCTTACAATTTGTATGGCAATTTGGCCCGGGGTTGTGGTGTGGTAGGGGAGAATGGGGGATAATCCCACGCAGGAGTTCCGAACAACGTCTGGTTCACGTTTGGCTGGATAACTCCACCACCACACGGGGTATGCGGTCGGCGATGGGGTCAAAATGCTCGTATGATCGAGGGCTTTTCGATGGATCTATCGGCGGGTTCTTATTCGAAAAATCGAGCGAGTTCGTGGTGGAGCGGTTGTATCTTGAGACTTAATTTCTTAACTAGTGAGTCTCATATTCTTTTCAATTGAATTGCTCAGTTCAGAAGTAACTTATTAGCTTTTACACATGCGTAACTGATCTCTTTCAATCTTGATTTCATATCTGCAACTGTTGTTTCCTCTCTCATCTTTTTCAAAGCATTCTTCAAGATGCGCGGATGCAATTCATACAACAGGTAGAATAATGAATGCTTGAAGACTGCATACTGTCAAATTTATATGATCAATAGCATCTGACTGAGATATTCATCTCATAATCTCATACACTTCCTCACTAGATATTTTATCAGCATGTTGCTCAAGATTTCATTCAAGTGTTTCATCTTTCTGTTCATCTGTGAATGATATGACATTGTTCTACAATGTCTTGTCTGTAACTAGCTTATGAAATGCCTCATCACTTCTCTCACAAGATTCACACTGTTATCAGTTAGAATCTTGTGTGACATTTCATAGTTGACATAGATCTCATTATATAGAAACTTCACTATCATCTTCTCTGTCATCTCTGAAACTGCTTTCACAACTGATCAGTCAGTAGTGTAATCTATAGCAGTGATTATTCATCAATTTTCATTTGATATTCACAGCAATATGTCTATGAGGTTCACTTCTCATCATTCAAATGATTGTATTGTACACTTCATCTGATGTTACACTTTCTCACATTCTAACTCTTTCTTAGATTCTTTCACAACCTGATAATTCAGGCACTTGTGAGTGTACATCTGAATATTCTCAGTCATGCTTAATCAGTATGCTCTTGATTTGAGTACACTCATGAGTTCAGAGCTTTCTAAGTGACTAAATTCCTTGTGCATGTGAGTCACTAAGTCATGTCTAAATGAAGATTCTAGATAGAGAGCTTCTGCATATTCTAGATTGTGATAAAGTATAATGTCATTTTTCAATTTCCTTAGCTTGAAGTTTGAAAGCATCTCTTCTACTACTCTCATGAGATGCTTATTATCTGATATCTTATCATTCTTTAAGCAAGAGATCATGATATTCACTCATTCTGATTTCTTATACTCTCTCAGTGTGTTTAACATGAACTTTCCTTGTATCTGGTTCACAGAACTCTCACTCATGAAATCAGGTCTGTAACTGATTGCATCAGATATCACAGTATTCAATTTCTTTCAGTATTTAATATGAAGATTATACACTTGAAACTCTGAGATTCAATATGCTAAGTATTTAAAAGGTTTTATTATCAATTGTAGATAGATAAGACTTTCATAATCTGTGATGATCATTGTTATATATCTGTTATTAATATATCTATCTTATAACATCAGTGCATGCTTAATCACTAGCAATTTCTTTTCATACACTGAGTAATTGAGCTCAGTATCTGATAGTTTTCTATTATTATACATCACTAAGTGCAGCTTGCTGTTCTTGCTCATCTGTACAAGAGTATCTCTGATAGCTCATTTGAATGCATTTATCTCAATGTAGAAAGGTTTATCATGATCTGATTAAATAAACACTGAAGATATTATTACACATTTTCTCAGTGTGAGAAAAGCCTCTTCACACATGACATTTCAGATGATTGAATAAAACTTCTTCTTTCACAGATTTGCATTCATTTCTCTTAAGAGATCTGAGAGTGATGCAGATATTCATATGAAATTCTTGATAAATCTACAGTAATATGAGATTAACTCAAGAAACTGTTATATATGATATACATTTCTTAACTGCAGTTAATTCACTATGACATTCAATTTCTTCAGAATGAGATGTATACAGTCATCACTTACTACATATTCTATAAACTTCAACTCTTTCATTTCAAACACACACTTTGTTAATTTAATATAGAGCTTATACTCTGTCAGAGTTGTAAGCACTTTATCAAGATACTTCAGATATTCATTGTATGAGTTTGAAAAGACTAGAATGTTATTGAGATATACAAGATATGAGATTTCATTCTGTTTATGAAGAATTATATTCATCATTATTTGAAAGATGATAGATGCATTTGTCAGACTGAATAATATTATCAGGAATTTGAACTTCTCTCATTGCATATTAAATATGATTCACAGAACTGATAGTTTATCTACACAGATCTGTCAGTATTCTGAGAGAAGATTGATCTTCAATAGATATTAGATGTTTTCAACTGTATTCAACTGTTATTAAATTCATGACAGTGAATATTCATTCTTGATTATAAGCTTGTTAAGTGCTTGATAATTGATATATATCTATCACTTCTCATCTGTCTTTTTCATGAATAGAACTGAAAAGTCTCACACATTTAATGAGAATTGTATGAGATTACATTCTAGAAGGTCTGTGATCTGACACTTCTGTTCTTCAAGATGTATTTGTGACAGAGAGTATGCATTCTAATTGACTGGTTTTGCATCTTCTATGTCAATCTCATGTACAAATTCTTGTTTCAGCAGCAGTTTCAGTGAAAGATCTGTTCAGAAGATTCTTTCATACTTCTTCAGAAGCTTCTTTATACACTTGTTCTCTCATATATCTTTTATCTTGATTTTCTCTGCTTTCAGATTCTGTATAATATACAGAATACTTTTGAATGAGGTCTTGCAGATCATTCTCTTTACTTATTAATATATAAGCAGATTTAATTCTTCTATATCAGAGGTATGAAATGTTCATCTTATATCAGTTGATAGAATTATATGAACTGTTTTCTTTCTATCAGTCAACTGTATATAATATATATGTCATTAAATCTGCAGATTGAATCTTTGAAATCAATCAAGTTTAAGAATAAGATTATATTTCACATTCTGCAGCTCTCACACTCAAATATAGCAAGATCATTCTTCAAAGTACAAGGGAACTCTTACTCTTGTAGATGATATCAAATATCAGTTATCAGATAATCTTATACATCAGAGATTCTTCACTCAGTGAATCTCTTTCAGACTTCAGATCATATAATTATCAATATATTATATAGAAGCTTCTGTATCTGTTAACACTTTTACAGCCATCTCTTAATTCTTACTCAAGTGTCTCTTATACATTAACATTTCAGATCTCAAGGTATTGAGATGAGTGTCTACTTCATTATTCTCACTCACATCTCATTCAGAAGCCTGTTTCTTCTTTATATTCATAGAATTCAGAGAGTTATCTAACACAGACATCTCTTTCACTTTGAAGACTTTTTATAGAATATCAGTGAGTGTCTCTGAGCTCACTGATTCTGCTAGTTTTTTAACTCTCTTACTTCTCTTGACTGTGCACAGTGAGTGTAATCTTTTGTATCATGATTTTAATGTCTGCAGTTGAAGCAAGCTCAATACTTACAATATCAAGATTTTCACTCAGAGAATTTCTTTTTCAGAGAATTTAGTACTTTAGTAATAGTATTCAGATCTAGATTTATTGTATCTGAGTATGTAACTTGTATTATAGAAGTCTGATTATCTGTTCTTTACTGAGATATACTTAATTACAGTATTTTCTATTGCAATTGACTTGCTTATTTCTGTATGATGAGTAGACTGACCGTGTGACCGTGTCTGAGACCAGGACCAGATTTTTTGATAGTTCCATTACCAATTCGACTGATCTCATTACACAGTTTTAACATTAAATAGTAGTCCCATACTGTCTCAGTGAGACTTACTGTCTACTCTTGTCACATTTTTCAAATGGGACCATGATTTCCACTTCTCAATTTAAATTATTTTTATTGCTTTAAATGACTTTAAATCTCATTTGAGCATTACCAAAAAGCATTACTTTTTAAAAAATTAAAAATAGTCTAAAAAAAACCTTAAAATGTCTAAAAATAGTAACTTTATGCCAAGAATGAGACTAAATGGGACCAAATGGGACCACTTTCTCATTTTTTTCAAGTCATGGTTCCATTTTAAGATCTGATATGTAGTCACTTTACCTGTTTTTTTGATAGCCAGTCCCAGCGGGATTCACGCCAAGAAATGTATGAGACCAGATCAAATGAGACCAAACGTGAAATTCATGGTCCCGGCGGTCAGTCTAATGATGAGAATGTTATATACTTCTTTCACTGTGTCTGATTGTAAGATTAAGCATTTTCATTTCACTCTTAACTCAGATGTAAGATCATAAATAAAGATCTGTAAATAGAAAGATGTTGAAAGCTCTTTATTCAATGTAAGATAGTGTAAGCTGAAGTGTGTGAAGTATAATATAAGATCACTCATTTATCTACACTCAGTAAAGTGTTTATAACACTTATCTTATACATTCACTTTCTTAAAGTTGTGTAAGATTCATTTGAAAAACTCATTTCATATTTGTGAGAATGAATATCACTCTGAATCTGTGAGATTCATCTTTTCATCAGTTATTTATAATGACTTTGCTTTTCTGTGTAGAAATGTAACAGATATTAAGACTTGTTGAAATTTCATTGACTGTCTGTCTATGAGTTTATGTTCAATCTGATAATATGATTATATCTGACTTAGTCAGCTGATTACAGCATCATTTTTTCAGTTGTCATTGAAGCTTAATGACTCTGACAGATCTCTCAGTTTGATATATTTCATGCTTAGATTCTCATTCTACACAGCAATCTCTGATAATGTGTACACTTCTGAAGAGATTGTGAATAATCATAATAAGATCTTCAGATTCAGTGTAGTTATCTATCTATATAAATATTTAATCTTCTGCTGCAGGTCTAAGATCTGATTTTCTCTATTCTTATTAATGATGATAATTGCATCAGTGAAGCTCTTTATAGTGAATACTTGGTCTACAGTAAATGTTAATTATTGTTTAACTTTCATCTCAGTCTGTCACTGTGTATGCAAGGCCTCAATCTCATTTAGAATTCTTGTATATATACAGAGCTTCAATTTCAGTTCAGCAGTTTCAGTCACTTTTTTTACTACTTTGAGTAAATTCTCTGAGAGATTCTGCATATCTTTCAGTTCAGATAGCAGAGAAAAGTGTTGTTTATATTGACTAGAAAAGATATTTATTTCAGTGATTTCTT